TGTGCCAGGTCCTGGCTAAGGAGCAAGGCCTTCAGGTGCAGCCGCTGGGAGAAGGCGACGGCGTGGTGGAGGCACGTCCGGGGCGGGTGCACGTGGTGCAGGGCGATATTAACGACGCCGACGCCGTGCAGCGCGCGCTGCGGGGCGCGGACGCCGTGGTGTGCGCGGTGGGCATCCGCGTCAAGCCGCGCACGGAAGAGGGCGGGTTCCCCGGATACGCGGACGGGTCGACCCCCGAGGTGAGCGTGATGCGGAGTGAGTGTGTGTTGCTTGCGCGCGTGTGTGAGGGGCGGGAGTTGGAGTTAGAGCGGAGCCAGAACGTACTGAGTTGACGCGCGAACCCACATGCATACTCCTATTGTCTCTCCCACCCCACTCCGCTCCGTTCCTCTCTCCTGCCGGATCAGTGTCTCCACCCGCTCGTCTACCTCTTCCCCCTTCGTCCACCCGTCCTCCCCCCTTTTCCGCTTTTCCCCGCACTCGCCCTGCGCGTCCCCCGCAGGACGTGTACGGCAAGGGCGTGCCCGCACTCTTCCGCGCAGCGGAGGCTGCGTTCCGAGAGGGGGGAAGCGAGGGGGCGGGGAAGGAGAGCGAGGACTTGATGCTCTTCGACTTCCAGTCGCTCTCCGCTCCTCCCGCTGCCGCCGCGGAGGAGGGATCAGGCGCAGCGGAGCAGGCGGGAGCGCGGGTGTACGTGGATGGGTGGGGGCGGTTCGACGATGTGATCATGGGCGGCATCTCGGAGAGTGTCCTGCGACCTGATAATGGTGAGCCGCGCGGGATTCGGCAGGTGAGATGTTGCTACTGGAGAGAGGTATTCGGCAATGGAGATAGGTGATGCTCGCTTGGGTTGCCCTGGGGAGAGATTCTCCTTAAATGTTTACTGGGAAACAATCTAGCTTAGTCAAGTAGGCCGAAGGGTGCACGGCATTGTCATTGGAGGTAAATTTTCACAAGAATTTCCGCTTTTGACACTGGGCAACGTGCTAGTTCGTGCCTTGGTAAAGATTGCTCAATGGCAGATCATCCTCAGCACGGTGTTGCCCCAACGCCTCGCTCTCCTTGTTGGTGCTTGTGTGTGTGGCAGGCAAGGCTGTGTTTGAGGGCACGCTGCGAGTGGAGGGTGGTGGCTTCTGTGCCTCCAGGTGACCACGCCCACCTCACCCACACTACTTGCGTCTCTGCACCACTCTCCTGTGTTTCACTCTGCTGCCGCGATTGCGGCCACATCACATGCACCCACCCAGCCACAACTCCCTCCCCCCTCTCACGAACCAAATTTCCCTCGCTTTTCCCCCCCGGCGCCATTCGTCCCGCGCTCGCACCATGTCCTGGTCGCCCTTGCACCATGCCTTGGTCCTCTTCCGGACCACCCACTCATGCACGCTCCTCGGCCGTTCCACCATGCGTGTCTCTCAGGACGTCCTTCCCCACGCCCTTGGACCTGTCGGCCTTTGACGGGCTGCACCTGCGAGTCAAAGGCGACGGTCGTCGCTACAAGCTCAACCTCAGAGACGAGGTGCGTACACTGCTGCCGCTGCTGCTGCTGCTGCTGCTGCTGCTGCTGCTGCTGCTGCTGCTGCTGCTGCTGCTGCTGCTGCTGCTGCTGCTGCTGCCGCCGCCCTGTGGGTGGAAGGGCCTTGCTCGTGCCCTTCGCGATCTGCACTGCCCTGTCTCCTTTTCCGGCCTTTCACCTCCCGCTTGCCGCTTTTCTCCATCCTCAGCCTCATCTCTCAATCAATTAACTCGTGAAGCTGGAGCACGTGCTCTCTCTTGCCCTTGTCATGTGCCCCTCTCCTCTTACTCCTCCCATTCGTTGCAACATGCAGAAGTCACAGGGCGAGTTCCAGTACCAGGCGAGCGTTGACACTCTCAACGGCCAGTGGCTCGACGCTTTCATCCCCTTCTCACAGTACGTACCCACACACCAAGCCCCGCATGCAAAACCCCCCTCTTCCAATCGCACCACTTTCTGTACCCCTCGCTCCTGATCACCTGACCCTGCTCTGTACCTCCCTGAGTTTCATGTGGCACGTTTCATGTTCCCGCTCCCGTGCAACCCTCCGTCCCCACCTGTGCCTGTATCCATATGCGCCCCAGGTTCAGGGCGGTGGAGCGGTCTCGCTCTGTGATGGACAGCCCACCCATCAACACAAAGAAGATCCGCACCGTAAGCTTCACGGGCTAGCCAGAGGGGGCATGCTGCTGCCTTGCTGCACGATTGCCCCATGAGCCTGCATCAAGTTTCTCAGAGGCACTTTTCACAGTGCCTGGTTGGGGATAGGTGCAGGGATAGCTATCTAGTTCCTGCATATGGATTCCCTGCGCTCACATGCTCTCCCCTCGCTTGTGGACCCCCCTTCCCTCGCCCTCCTCAGCTGGGCATCGTGTACAGTCGCTTCCAGTGCGATGGCTTCCCCAACCCTCTCTGCCTCCCTGGGGAATTCTCCCTTGAAGTGAGTTGCTCTCCTTCCAATGCTAGAATTGCCCTCTCAGAAATACTTGCAGACATCAGGTACTCGCACATTCCCACACACTTGAGCACACCGAGAGATACAGTCAATGAAGAGACAAACCAGCAGCAGCACAAACATTCCCATGCCCACAAGTTTTTAAACCCATTCACGGCCCTTCTTTCACCCCTTCAAATCTTTCCACCTCGCCCCTCCAGATCGCGTCCATCTCGGCATATCGTGTGAGCCGGCCCCAGGTGGTGCTGGTGAGCAGTGCAGCGGTGCAGCGCAGTGCACGCGCCATGACGGCCGAGGAGAGGGGCAAGTCCATCCCCATCGTACAGCTCAACCCAGGTCAGCCATGCTCTCTGTCTTCTCTCTGTGATTATCAGTTTCTCTCACTCTCGTTGTCTCTGTCATTCTTCGACCACCTCCTCCCCCTCCTCTGTCCTTCCCCCCCCGCCTTGCAAAACCCAACAACCCCTCTCCCCAACCCCTTTCTCCCACCCCTGCACCACGTTTGAGCAGGCGGAATACTGTCATGGAAGCTGAGCTGTGAGGATGCGGTGCGGGCCAGTGGGCTGCGGTACACGGTGGTGCGACCCACAGGACTGCTGGGCACAACTGAGGCCAAGGCTGACACCGTCAACACGCCCCACATCCTGGAGGTACTGCCCTATCTGCCCCACCTGCCCCAACTGCCATGGCTGTCTTGTGACGAAACCGCTGTGCGCTGAATTACTTTCTCTCCTCTGTGTTGAATACTGACACTAGCCAACATCTGCATCATCCCCTCTTATCACCATCTCCCTATCCCCTCTCGCCCCTTCCTGTCCTGATCTCCATGACAGTCGGGTCAAGGCGATGTGCTGACCGGCCTTATCTCATGCCCTGAGGCTGCAGCTGTCTGTGTCAAGGCGCTTGACGCTCCTGATGCTGTCGACACCACGTTTGAGGTATGCTTCTTCATTGCTCATGCCTTTCCGTTCACCAGGTTTGAGGTAGTACCTCCTTGATTTACCGTTGTGCACATCCCACAACCCGTGTTCCACAGCCCATCCACCGTCTCACTCCGCATTTGCCCTCCCTCCTGCACACCACTCATCCGTGTGTGCAGGTGAGGCGGGATGAGCTGACAGCAGGGCTGAGCATGGAGGAGCGGCACTGGGTGGACCTGTTCCAGCGCCTCAGGCCTGACGTGCGCAATGGCCGTGTGCAGTACCCAGCTGTTCCCAAGGCCATCTCTGATGCCTTCAAGGGGTAGCCATGCAGAGGGATGAACCACAACCATGGCAAGAGTGACACTTGAAGCGTATTTTTGCAGAGAAGCTATTTTGCCTGTTTTAGTTTGTTAAGTGTGTGGGGTACTGTATTGTGCAGTGTGGAGTGAGGTGAGGACAAGGGAACTTGCAATTACTGGGAAGCTGGGTCTACACAACATACATGCCATACAAAGTGAGTGGGCCGGCCTTTGCTGAAAGTAGATGTACGGTACTGTTTGCCACATGTTTCTTCATACGAGAGCTTTTATTTATGGTAGGAGGGAGCCCCACATAATAGCGAGTGTTCTCATGCAAGGCACGCTGTTTTGACCTAGTGGAATATGGATGCCAGCATCGCAAGGGACACAATGGACTTCGTTCACATACTGAAATGCATCAGGCTTGGTCATCATCAGGGGGTAGGAGATTCCCTTTTGCGGCGTGGACGAGATGCCTGCACCGAAGCAGCCACCAAGTCTCGTTGATGAAGATTGACGGCCCAAATTCCAGGAGGTGTTGCCGTTTTTCAGTTCCGTGACAACCCCAGGGCTGGATTGGTTACGCTTCCCCTAATGGCGGACTTGCATCTGCTGACGTGGTTTTTTTTTTGCGATCACCCAGCCCCCTCAACCACTTTGTGGGTGTGATGATTTTGTTCATCCCATTCCTTGATTTTTACATAGCGTGTTGAGCTCTCCACGGTTTGTGATTTTTAGCTACAGTAAAACGTTGGATCCAGGAACCTGAATGGTGGATGGTCGCCCTTCTATCTTCAGTTGAGGTTGTTGACTGGATGGTTCGAGACCTGGGCGAGGAGGGGCACCCTGTTTTGATGGCTGACGGAAGTTTTCCCACCTCGGAACAACCCCAATCAGCTGCTGACCGATTGCTGCGCACATCCGCGCAGGTAGCGTTGGCGCGCTGTGAACGAGCGGAACCTGGGTGAGCTAAGCAGGCGATCAGCGCACAAACCCCAAAGCTTCGCTGGACTCCCCTGCCGGGAGGATTTCCTTATCTCCTGTCTCGCCCATCACTCTCCTCCTTTTCATGTCTCCCCAATTCAGGGGCTATGGAGCTTCCGTAAGTAAGCCTTGAACCAGTTACTTGTGACCCAATTAGTTAAGTCACTATGTTCCTCTAGGTTTATCATTACTGGATAAGACCATGGACGACTTCCGTCCTCCCTCTTCCTCTTCCACCCTCTGTCCTCGTGGGCGGGGGGTTCTCTCAACCAAGGCTGTGCTGCAGCCGCCAGCTTTATGATTTCAGTGGGTCGGCTTTGCCCATGGGGCAAGCTTGGGAGGGGTCGGGTGGGATGGGTCCTGGATTCGCCTCGAAGCAGCATCAGTGGGCAAACCAGTGCCCTTCCACTCTGCAGCAGCAGCAGCAGCAGCAGCAGCAGCAACCTCGGCGGCGGCGGCGGCAGCAGCAGCAGCAGCATCAGCACGAGCAGCAGCAGCAGCAGCAGCAGTTCCAGGAGCAGCCTCCAGTCCAGTCAGGCGTTAGCTATGTGCCTACTAGATCTGAGTGCTTGCTAGCTACTGGGCAACCGGCCCCTCCTCAGTTACCCACACCCTCCTCCTTCCTCCCTGACGTTTCGTCTGCTTCCCTCTGCGCGCCTTCTCTTCCTCCAGGTCAATCCCCTCGTTGGTCCTCCGCCTTTGTTTCCCTTCCGCTCTCGTCCCTTCCCGCGTTTACCTCCTCTCACGATACCTCGATCCCTTCCGGAAACCCTAGTTCGTTTGTGTCCTCTCACGTCGTTGCGCCGTCGTGTGTCGCGAGTCAGGTGCCGCTAGGCTCTCGTCCCGTGTCAGATACTTCATCTGCTTTTGTTCCTTACCGTCGGCCCTCCTCGCTTCGTGAATTGCCTCCTTGTCGCGCGAGTCAGGCAGTGACTCCTGCTCTTCGCCTGACCGTCGGCCTTCGCTCTTTCTACGGTGGAATAGCTAACGCAGCTTCATCGCGTTCCAAGTCCTTTTTCCAGCAGCAACAGCAACAGCAGCAGCAGCAGCAGCAGTTGGTAGCACCAAGCGCAGCTGCTGTGCAGTTTTCGGTTTTTGTAGGATCCGTAACGGGGAATAATTTCGTGCATAGCTCACTTAGTCCTCACGGCGACGTTTTGAATTTGCAAACGACTGGTTATTCTTCAGCAGCTGATCAAATGGCAAGCGGTGCTGCTGTCTCTGGCGCGCCTTGGCACGGCTCTTACGTGGGGTGGGCCGGCAGCAAGCACGGTGACGCAGCCGTTAGCGGTTACATTTCAACAGTAGGCGATGAATGTTCGAGCCCATATTACCCGGAATCTGCGGGTGTAAATCAAGATGGTTGTTACGTCAGGTACTCCGACTATACCCTCCCCGAAGGCCAACTCCACGTTGGTCCGCATCTTCCGCTCCTTGCCGGCCGCTTTCGCTTCCTCCAGTCGCTCTCCGAGGGCGGCTCGGCGCGCGTGTTTGTGGCAGAGGACACGTGGCACCCGTCGCAGAGGACGGTGGTGGTGAAGGCGATGCATCGCCATTATCGCGAGGTGGGGCTGCAGGAGCAGCAGCTGCTGCGCTTCCTCAACACCATCGTGGATCCCCACGATTCCTGCCGCATCGTGCGTCTCCTCGCGGGATTCGAGTTCCACGGCCACACGTGCCTCGTGTTAGAGCGCCTGCAAGGCAGTCTGCTCGAGCACATGTGCCGCCCTGCCGACTCTCCCGGCTCCGCTGCCGCCGCCGCCTCCGCCGCGAACGCCGCCGCTTCCGCTGCGAATGTCGCTGCAGTCGCTGTTGCCGCGGCGGGGATGACGTCGGGTTCCGGTGAATTGGCGGCAAAAGGGGCGAGCGATCTGGTTGGGGCGGCAGCGGCGGCCGTGTCGGCGGCGGCGACTGCAGCAGAGACGGCAGCGGAGACGGCAGCGGCGCGGCTGGAGGAGATTCGCAGCCTGGCTCACGATCTGATCGTGTCCATCGCTGCGCTCCACGCGTCAGGCATCATTCACGGGGATCTCAAACCGGAAAACATTCTCATGCAGCCGCTCCCGTACCCCCCCTCCCCCCCTCGCGCGTCTTCTACCTCTGATCCGTACGGCCGTCACGACGCGTCTGATTCTTCTCCGTTTTTCTCCAACACCTCTACCTCCTCTCGTGTCTCCCCCGGCGGTACCGTATCCGTCGTCGCGCCTGACAACGGTTACTCGCAGTACCCCGCGTCGCTTGGGCTCGTGTCCGCCTCCTCTGTCGGCGATCTCAATGCGTCGCCGTGGACGGGTGGTGCGACGGATTCCCAGGCGAAGGCCGATGGGTCGATGGCGGCAGGACGGTCGTCATCGTGGCGCAGCGCGCACGAGTCGGGGGCGCCGTCGGGTTACCCGCTGCCCTACAGCGGCAGCAGCGGCGGCGCAAGCAGTCGTGCGAGGGCCGCGGCGGCGCCGCCGCAGGTGGCGGCGAAGATCGCGGATTTCGGCAACTCGTTCACGCCGGAGCAGATCCGCACGCTGTGCCACGACTACAACGTGCAGACGCTCGCGTACCGCGCGCCCGAGGTGCTGCTGGGCGTGCCGTTCTCCGCCGCCATCGACCTCTGGTCGCTCGGGTGCATCCTCGCGGAGCTCGCGACAGGGCAGCTGCTCTTCGCGTGCGAGTCCCCGCAGCACCTGCTGCAGCAGATGGTTGCGCTGCTCGGCGTCGCCCCGCCAGCGTGCCTCTTCGGCTCGGGGAAGTTCTTCCCGAAGCTCACGGCCGCCGCGGGCGTGCCACGCGTGTGCTGCTGCAGGACGGAAAGCGGCGGCGGGATGGCGGTGTGCTTCCGCGGGTGCAGCGGAGGAGGGGGAGGTGGTTGGTATGGCGGGGTTGCGGACGGATGCGGCGGGTACTGCGCGCCGATGGCGTTCAACATCTTCGCTCCTGGGTGCGTGTGCTCGTGCTTCCTTTATTCCATGGAGCGCCCACGACCCATTTGTCTGTCCCTAAGTTTACACACGCTCTCCTTCTCTCCGTGTTCATCCGCGTGAAACCGCGTATTTTTTGTGTGTCTTGGTGTAAAACGCGCTTACTATTTTGTCCCGTCGTTCCCCCCCCCTCCAACCCCCCGTCCCGAACCCCCCTGCATTCCCTCATCCGCTTACTCTTTTGTCCCGTCGTTCCTCCCCTCCTCCCTCCCCCTCCCCCCACACCCCTTTCCCCCTCCACCCCTCCGTCCCCACCCCCCCTGCATTCCGTCATCCGCTTACTCTTTTCTCCCGTCGTTCCTCACCCCCCCCCCCCCACCCCCCCCCTCTTCCCCACTCCATCCCCCCGTCCCCACCCCCCCCCCTGCATTCCGCCATCCGCGCTGTTCCTCCGCGCAGGCACTCGCACCTGGGGGACGCGCTGGCGGCCGTGGACGCGCAGCTGGCGGATCTCGTGGCGGGGCTGCTGCAGTACGACCCGCGCGTGCGGCTCTCCGCGCAGCAGGTCCGCGGATTGGGAGCGGTCGTGGGGGAACGGGGGTAGTATGGGGTTGGAGTTACTGAGGGTGGCTGTGTGTGGGGCGGGGGAAGGGGAAGATGGTGCAGTTGGCCTGAGGGATTGTGGTAAGGGGGGTTAAAAGATGGCGTTGATTGTTGCTCGTGTCGAGATATGTGTCGGCCGCATGCTGTCCGTCTTTGAGCAGCATTGGCATCTCACCTTACCCTTCTCTTTTGTTTGCGTGTCCTTTATTCTTGGTCTACCTTGCTTCGTTCCAGGCGCTCTCGCACCCTTTCCTGAAGCCCCTGCGCAGCTCTTCCTCCTTCGGCTCCTCCTCCTCGCTCGCCTCCAAGGACTTCTCGCACCCTCTCACTCCCTGCACCGTGCTCCCCACGCCTGCCCTCGCCTCCCCTCTCACCCTCTACTCCTATCACCCCAACATGCACACCATGCCCGTGCCGTCTCTCCTCCTCCCTCCGTCCTTCACCTCTGGTTCCTCCTGGGCCGTTCCCACTGCCGACGCGGCTACTGTCACGCCAGTTGAAGCGGCAGCGGCGGCGGCAGGAGCAGGGAGTGCGGGTGGGCACGCGGGAGCTGCTGGTGCGGCGGGTGCACTGCGCGCAAGGGAGGAGGTCTTTGGTGTGGCTGCGCTGGGGGGCGGTCAGCAGGGGTCGGGTTCTGGTCCGCAAGGGGCGCATGGGCTCTGGTCGTTGCAGCACGCTGCAGCGGTAGCTCAGGCGGGAGCAACAGCACCGTGCAAAGTTTCCATGCAGCAGCAGCAGCAGCAGCAGCAGCAGGGAGGGCATGGGCAGGAGCGTGTTTCAGCATGGGGCGGTGTGATGAATGGTTCGGGAATGGAAGCGAGGAACGGAGCAGCAGGCGAGTCACAAGATCTGTACGCAGCAGCGTCAGCTGCAGCCATGGCAGACGCAGCAGCGGCGGCAGGGATGAGTGCAGGGGCGAATGGGGACATGAGCGGAGCACATGGGTGGTGGAGCGAGGGGTTGGGTGGGGGTCCGTGGTATGGTGCGCAGCAGGGTTCCGGCGCGGGCGCTGATGCCGGTTCCGCTGCGGCTGCTGCATCTTCTGAGATGGTGGCTGCAGCTGCTGCTGCCGCTGCAATGTCTGCGGCGTCTGCAGGTGCTGCGGCAGCAGCTGCAGTGGCAGCGCATGAGGTTCAGGCGTTGCAGCAAGCCATGTCGAACAGTGCAGCGGCAGCTGCAATGATGAGCTGTTATGGATACGGGATGGCAGGGAATCAGGAAGGTGCGTACCTGCATGGCGGAGCGGCTTTCACGCCCGAGGGTATGTTTCTCCCGCACTCCCACCTTGTTCCCTTGATCCCCGACCACCTCTCCCTCGGCCCTCCAGCCCCCGCCGCGGCAGCGCAGTCTCACGCGCACTGCATGAGCTTTGCGCCTGGTGCTGCTGGCGCGGGTGCTTCCGGGCATCCCAAGGGCCTGGTGTTTGAGCCTCTGAGTCCCGTGGCAGGCCGGGCGGGGACGGGCGGGGTGAGCGAGCGGGATGCACGTGGGCTGGTGGGCGTGGCGAGTACTGAGTTGCTGCTGGCGCCAATGACTCCCTGCCAGGCCAGGGAGGCGCACGTGGTGGGATGGGAGAGTGTCGCGGCATCAGGGAGGAAAGGGGGAAGGGGTGCAGGCGCAGGGACAGGGGCGGGTGCAGGTGCAGGAGCTGGAGCTGGGGCAGGGACGGGGGTGGAATCAGGAGCAGAAGTTGGTTCGGGGATGAGCTATGTTGAGCAGATGTATGCGGTGTATGAGGCGCAGCAGGGGAGTGCGCATCAGTATGTGGCCAGTGGTTATGAGGGGCTGCAGCAGCAGCAGCAGCAGCAGCAGCAGCAGCAGCAGCAGTATCTTCAGTACCCTCAGCACGGGGAATATCAGCAGCAAGTGAAGTTTCAGCAGCAGCAGCAGCAGCAGCAGCAGCAGCAGCAGCAGCATCAGCAGCAGCAGGAGAGGGCACAGCAGCATCGTGGGGTGATGGGATATGCCAGTGGGTTTTGTGGCATCAGCAGCAACACCAGGGATAGCTGGACTCATCAGGATGCATCTTTTGTGGGAGAAACGGGAGTAGCAGGGGCAGCAGCTAGGGTGTGTGAGGAGGAGAGCAAGTGGGCGGGGGGGAGGATGGGGGGCGCATGTGGGGTGGAGTACAGTGAGGCACCTTGGCTTGTTGCGCATGGCAGCATGGGCGGTTGCGCCCCGGCGACTGTCAGGTATGCGGTGTGAGAAGGTGCGAGAGGGGGCTGGGAGGAGACTAATCCGTGTAGGATGTGTTGGGTTGTGGTTGTGATCAGTAGGGTGTGAACTGGTATCGAAGTTGGGAGGTCAGGGTGGAGAGGTGATGATGGGGAGTGAGGGCAGTGGGGTGCTGTCACGGGCAGATGAGCATCTTTGACTGTACCTTTCTCCCTTTGTTGGTGCCTTGTGGCTCAGGCTGGGTTGGTGATGTCCTTAGCACAGCAGGCGCTGAGTGGGCTGTGGGGACTGCTGCAAGGCCAGACGACGCATGGAGGGCTGTAGCGGGGGCTTTGCACTGCGTGGTCCTTGCTGGATGTGTAGCTGCTCTCTTGTTTCGTCTCTCAGCTGCTCCCTGCTGTGACTCTGCCTTGACAGAAGTTCGATGATGCATTAGCATAATGTCTTCACGCATACCTACAGTACTTGTCTGCTTAAAGTGAACCTTGTAAGGATTTGATGAGTTCATTCTCAGTCAGCACTCTTCTCTATGCACGCATGAATTACTTGGTGCCTTTACCGGTTGTAACTTCCAACGACAGCCAGCGGGATTGCAGGAGTGGGGAAAATGGGTGGGCAATGGGTGGGGCAGTAGGGAACAGGTTTGGAGTGAGAGGGAGTGTTTGGGTGGGATGAGGGCAAAGCGGAGAGTTAGGTGGGCTGGGGGGAGAGGAAGGTTGGAGTTGCGTGGGCTGCAACTGGCGAGAAGCGGGAGTTGGGAGGGTTGCTGTTCACTGGGAAGGGGAGTTGGATGGGTTGGGGAGGGGAGAGTGGAGTTTGAGCAGGTGAACGATACGAGCGAGTTGGTTGGGGTGCGAGGTCCGGCGAGGAGAGCTACGGTACCGGTACGTAATGTTGTGTGTGAGGTGTGAGGAGCTGGGCAATTTCTGGTCGCAAGGTGAAAGAAAGGAGGGAAGAGGTATATTAAGGGGCTAGGTGGACGATAGAGCATATAAATACGGTGGGAGGATGGGAGGAGGAAAGCGGGTGGAGAGGGGCTGAAAGGGGTGCCGTGCCAGTCTTGATGGAGAGGAGGGCGTACCTTACTAGCACCATACGTCTAATATGCATCAGATGCAGCAGGTCTCCTATCAATTTCACTCCTGTGATTTTAAGAGTTGTCCTTTCTGTGGTTTGACAGGATGTTTGAATACGGCACAGTACTGGTACGGTACCGGCAATACCGCATGAAAAAATCATAAACGTCCATGGACTTGTTACACACCTGACATACTTTGTGAAATTGCCTGGCTCCTTTCCGGCCTTAGTCATGAAGAAGTATGTCAAGCGGCCTGAAGTATGGGCTAGAGTGGATTTATAAATATTCATTGGTTGTACAACCATGTGAATGGAAAACCAGAATGGAGGCGCAATAGCTAATGTTCTTGCATGTTACGCGCCTCCATTTTTTAGTGTACGCTAAAGGGGGGAGTTCGCATGAAATCATCGTGAGATGTCGAGTTTTGTTTTTATCACACGGTCTGTTTTGCAGCTGCCACATGCTTGTGACTACATTTGCGAACTGCACACACAAGTGCGCACCGAGCAGTCATGCGCTGTTCTGGCTTGGGCGACGCCGCCATCCACACCACCTTCCGTGCCTGGCCTCTCCCAGTCTCGAGTTGTCATGGAAAAATACGTTTCAGCCAATTAACATTGTCCATGTCACAAACTTTAGATGACATGGATTTACAGACTGCCAAGAATCCCGATTCGAGGTTTTGAGAGCATGTTTCGTACAATTCGTCAACAAAATATTTGCTGCGCTGTGGGAACTGTATATTATTTTACTAGGTGGAACTGGTGTAGGAGCGTGGAATCTCAATTGTGTTCAGGGTGCATCTCGAACGCGCAACGACGTACAATACAGGTGGTCACGATGGCAAACGTTCCTGGAAAATGTGAGGCAGTTGATAAACGTAGCCCCAAACAGGCTGAAAGTGAGGCAATTGAAAATCTGGGTGACTTCTGCCCACCCAAACCGAACGTGGACCCTCCCTTCAAGAGCAAGCTTGGTGGGTATTACTCCCATCCATCGGCAAAGCAGATGGGTACTGTACCATTTTAGGGTGGCTCTTGTAGGAGGCATGGTTTTCTGGCTGATTTTCTTGCTGTACAGCCAACCCTGGAATGAATGAAATAGAGAGATCCTCAAGCCGAACTCCTGAGTTCTGGTTGTCCCACCGAGGATGCCAGGCAGTTCGACACAGTGTTTGTACGACGGCATCGCCTTTTCGAATTCTTTCCGCTAAGTGCTCCCCGTTCAATATGTTTTTGACGTACTCAGGGCTACTAGCCCTATCTACACTCCTTTGCGAATTACATGTTCCCCATGTAACAAGGGCCGTGCCTGGCAGAAGCACCCGCGCCGCCATTTCTGTAGAAAAGCGGCGCTCTCCTCCCACATCAGGAGCCATTCCATCGATCGAAGTCTGTCCACTCACAATTCTCGTGCTTGCTCCTCCCCTATCCGTCACCTCTTGTTTGTCCGCTCGACATGGCTCGTGGGTTGTCGCAGCTCCTGCTGCTGCTTCTCGTCACCGCCACATGGCGTACGTCTCCTCTCCAAGGCGCCGAAGCGAAGGGATTGAGCCGGGCGTATTACAAGGACTCGTGCCCGTACCTCGAGACGATTGTCCGTGAGATCGTCATTGACGAGTATCGCAAAGACCAAACCGTCCCGGCACCGCTTCTTCGCCTTCACTTCCACGACTGCTTCGTCCAGGTACGACTTGCCGGATTTCTTGCCCCGCTTCTCTCCTGATCGCCTACATTTGGCGCTCACGGCGTCCTTTTCTCCTCGTCTCGCCTACGGTCCGCAGGGTTGCGATGGATCGGTGCTGCTCAACTCAACGCCGGGCAACAAGGCAGAGAAGGACGCCCCGCCCAACCTGTCGCTGAACGGCTTCAACATTATCGACCGCATCAAGACGGCCGTCGAGGCCAAGTGCCCCGGCGTCGTCAGCTGCGCCGACATCGCCGCTCTCGCCGCGCGTGATGGCGTCAGCCTGGTGAGCGTTTTATTCCGCCGCTTTCCCCTGCTCCTCTGCTAAGCTGTGCGCTGCAGCCTGTCTTTTCCGAGACAGCCTGTCATTTCCAGTCATTAATCTCCGCTCGCATCGATGCGGCTTCCACTAATTTGGAATCGAAGCATTCCCCACAACTATGCCTCTCTACGCTGTTCACAATACCCCGTTTTTTCTTCTGTTTGCGCCCATGGATGTCGTGCAGGCCGGCGGGCCGTACATTAAGACCCAGCTGGGTCGCCGCGATTCGCGCACGTCGAAGGCCGCTCTGGCGGTGAAGTTTCTGCCCGGGCACCAGATGGACGTGAACGCGCTGCTGAGCAACTTCGCCGCCATCAATCTCACGCTCGTCGACCTCGTCACGCTCTCCGGCGGTCACACCATCGGCGAGTCGCACTGCGACACCGTAGCGCACCGCATCGCGCCCAACCGCGACCCGACGATCGCGCGGTCCATGCGGAAGTATCTGGAAGGCCACTGCAAGGCGCCCAAGGTCGACGGCACTATTCCCGTCGTCCTCGACATCCGCACTTCTAAGCGGTTCGACAACCAGGTGAGCGACGTACAAGCGCACGACACTTTCAGCCAATGAACAAAGAGCTTCGCCCCCTTCCGAGCGTGAACGCACGTGGCGCCTGCTCGCAGCCTCAATCTTAATACCTATCCTTCCCTATTCTATCTCCTCCGCCCCTCGCTGCGTCCACAGTATTTCAAGAACCTGCAGCGCAAGTTCGGGCTTCTGTCGAGTGACCAGGTGCTGATGATTGACCCGCGCACCAAGGATCTGGTGAACGAGTTCGCGGCGGACAAGAAGAGCTTCTTCCGCCACTTCCGCACCTCCATGGTGCGCATGGGCTCCTTCGGCGTGCTCACCGGCCGCAATGGCGAGATCCGAAGCACCTGCAGTGTCGTCAACTGATGCGGCGCGAGGATATGAGGGTCACTGGAGGGACTGCTTGTTTCGCTTTGAACGGTAGTGGCTAGTGTCTAGTTAGCGTGCGGCCTCGGATTAGGAGTTCAGGGTGCTAGGATGCGTGAATGGTAGAACGATGAGGTGACCGTGATGTTTTTTTGTAGACGGAAATAAAAAGTCATTGGGTAGATTATTGGTTCAGCTCAAACTCACTCTTTCGTTTTCCTGGACTCCAATCCGTTCATTGCAAGCACTTGTGACGAGTGTCCCATGGAAGCTGCTCTTCCTGAAAGGGGTTATGAGTATCCTATCACTAGGATGCACTATAGTATCCTATCACTTGAAGCATCCCCCCTATCACTTGTATGCACTATAGTTCGCACTACACCACAGGGGTTCATCCCCCCTACTTTACCTTAACCTTAACCCATCACTTGTATGCACTACACCACATGCTTGATATGTAGGCATTCCTGCGTTGTACACTTGCAAAGTGCAAGTTGAATGTCTGGCAGCACTGTCCCGTCACCCACATGGTGGAGAGGAGTCATGTCAACGACTATGTACAGCCATCTCCAATTTCCGATACTTGATGGTTTCAAATATTTAGGGTACATTCCGCTGTGGACACTGTCCCAATCGATGTGTCCCAATCGAGTGTACCGCTCCGAACCGAACTAAACCAGAGACGCGAAAATTTCGAAACTAGGGTGCAATTTGGTGTAATACGATGCAGTGCGGTAGAAACGATTGGGACACATCGATTGGGACATGGTCCACAGCGGAATGCACCCTTATTTATATGTTTCAGACGTACTCAGGGTCACTAGCCCTATCTACAGTGGCCCTGGTGGTTCCGTGTTCCTTCGATAACAAGGGGGTGCTTTTGGCAGGCATGCCTTTCTACGATGTGCCTCGCAGAAGCACCGGCGGCGGCATTGCTGTAGAAAAGCGGCGCTCAGCCATCAGCAAGGCATTGGTGTATTGAAGTCCTAAGTACCCGAGCCCAGTGTCTTGTCCTAGCTCCCTCCTTCCCCTGACGTCTCTTGTTTGTCTGCTCGACATGGCTCGTGGGTTGTCGCAGCTCCTGCTGCTGCTTCTCGTCACCGCCACATGGCGTACGTCTCCTCTCCAAGGCGCCGAAGCGAAGGGATTGAGCCGGGCGTATTACAAGGACTCGTGCCCGTACATCGAGACGATTGTTCGTGAGATCGTCATTGACGAGTATCGCAAAGACCAAACCGTCCCGGCACCTCTTCTTCGCCTTCACTTCCACGACTGCTTTGTTCAGGTACGACTTGCCGGATTTCTTTCCCCGCTTTTCACTGGTCGTCTACGGTTGACACTCAAGGCGTCCTTTTCTCCTCATCTCGAATACGCTCCTCAGGGTTGCGATGGATCAGTGCTGCTGAACTCGACGAAGGGCAACAAGGCAGAGAAGGACGCGGATATCAACCTGTCGTTGAACGGCTTCGACATTATCGACCGCATCAAGACAGCCGTCGAGGCCAAGTGCCCCGGTGTCGTCAGCTGCGCCGACATCGCCGCCCTCGCCGCGCGCGATGGCGTCAAACTGGCACGCGCTGCGTTGCTGATACTTAAACAGCCTACTTTCTCCCGCCCACTCATAGTCGCTCGCATCGATGCGTCTTCTCCACTCGTTTTTCACTGAAGCCGCATTCCCCAAGGGTGTGCGGCGCTCGTTTTTTTATTGAAGCACTCGTCTTTTTAAGCACCGTCCTTCTATCCCGCCTCTCGCGCCGCGCCCATGGCTGTCGTGCAGGCCGGCGGGCCATACATCGAAACGCAGTTGGGTCGCCGCGATGCGCGCACGTCGAAGGCGGATATGGCGATGAAATTTCTGCCCAAGCATCAGATGGACGTGAACGCGCTGCTGCGCAACTTCGCCGCCATTAATCTCACGCTCCTCGACCTCGTCACGCTCTCCGGCGGTCACACCATCGGCGAGTCGCACTGCGACACCGTCGCGCACCGCATCGCGCCGAACCGCGACCCCACGATCGCGCGGTCGATGCGCAAGTATCTGGAGGGCCACTGCAAGGCGCCCAAAGTGGACGGCACTATTGCAGTCGTCCTCGACATCCGCAGCGCCAACCGATTCGACAACCATGTGAGCCACGCAGGAGTGTACCACGAGCAGCCAGTAGCCAGTTAACAAAGAATATCGCCCCACGGATTACCGCACTCATGCGCAGGTGATCGCTTGCCCACAGCCTTCAATTGACACCTTTTGCTATCTCTGCGCCCCATGCTCCCGCCGCAGTATTTCAAGAACCTGCAGCGCAAGTTCGGGCTTCTGACGAGCGACCAGGTGCTGGCGATCGATCCGCGCACCAAGGATATCGTGAACGAATTCGCGGCGGACAAGAAGAGCTTCTTCCGCCACTTCCGCCGCTCTATGGTGCGCATGGGCACCTTCGGTGTGCTTACCGGCCGCAATGGCGAAATCCGTCGTACCTGTAGCGTTGTCAACTGACGCGGGAGGAGGAAACGAGGGTAATCAAAGAAACTGCGTGTTCGCTGTAGTCATGCCCCGGATATACCCCCAGGCCTATGTTACACCCATGGGCTTATAATCGTACCAGTGGGCTTATAGCCGGGTGCCGATTATAACCCCACCCTAAATTTGGATAATCTTCGTATAAGCGCACCCTATGAAATCTTTGTTTTTCTAGTGAATTCGCCACTAACGCGTCAAGAGCAATCGTAGCTGACGTGCCTGGCGAAGTCTTCCCTGGCCCGCCTGGCGAAATTGCCACAGGCGCGCACGTGTTAGCAACATTTCAGCACATGATGGCAGGGATTTTCGCCAGGGTGGCAGATTCTCGGTGAATTTCGAAGCGAACTGTTTTGTGGTAGTCTCGATTGAAACAGCAAGGCTGAGATCTACATTTCTGTGTTTTAAAATCATAATTCTCTAAGTGTCATTTATTTCCCCCATGGGGTTATAAAAAAATCCACATAATAAGCCCACCCACCATTTTTCCAGGTTTTTTTATACCCCCACCGGGGGGTATATCCGGGGCATGACGGGTAGTGGCTAATGGGTGTGCGTGAATGATAGGGGAATGAGGTGATGTAGGTGTATCCTGTAGATAGAAATAAATTATATTTTTTAAAGTGTAACACTTTCTCAAATTTTGTATTGTGAAAGGGGGTACGTGGCCAACACAGCAAAGGTGGGGCCGAAGCGCTACTCACCCTCTTTTGCCTACAAAAGAGGGTCGTGAGGTCATTCGCCCTCACCCACGTTTTTCATTTCTAGTTGTAGTTTCATTTCCGTTCTCGTCCACACTGGCGAAGACTCAGTCGCTTCCGCGCTTCACTGCCCCGTCGACACTCCTTAACGACATCCTTAAGCGCAACCTCGCGAAGATGGCTCCGGTCAACCCGGCAATTAACCGCGACAACTCGAACATTTCAAGCCCCAATAGCGCGGCGGAAACCGCAAATCCGTCCCGGACGACGGATCGTCGCGGAAAACGCTCGGCCGAAGAAATTTCAGGCGAGGGACCTTCGACGGTCGACCTCCTGCTCGGAGGCACCCTTCGGACCCCCCCTGAGGAACGCGCGACTGTTGTACAGTCGCGCGTGGCTGCTGCTGAAGAGCGCGTGCCTGGCAGGCACGCGCGTGCTGCGCAGAAGACGACGGCCGCCGCTGACGCGGCAGCCGTCTTGACCGCCGCTGACTCGGGTCAACCCGGGCCCACGACCCAGAAGCGCCAGCGCGCGGCACCCTCCGCTGACGTCACCCCAGTCAACACCCCCCCCCCCCCCTTTGACTACACAGCAGCTGCAGGCATTACTCTCGATATTGCAGCAGCATGCACCATCAACTACAGCTACATTGACGGAAGACGTTTCTGCTTCTGCTAAAATTGAAAAGCAGAAAGAACCTGTCGCGCCCCCCCGCTCCGCCAAGGTCGCTCGCGCCAACAACGCCGCTCCCGTTTCTGCCCCAGCTCCGGCACCTACCCAAGCCCGTGTCCCCGACGACAGCGACGACTCGGAAAATGACGACGGTGAGGCCCCCGACAACCTTGCCCGCCGTCGCATTCTCGCACCCGCACCCCCCCTCCCTCCCCTCAACCCCACACCCGCAGCTACTACCTTCATGCGCAAGGGAGTGCGTGATCAGGCGGAAGTCTTTTCTGCAATACAAGCTCACCTGAGGCACGTCGAGTTCAAGCTCCAACACGGCGACGTCGAGGGCGCACTCGCCAATGTCGCGCAAATCGAAACGTTGGTCAACAAACGCTTCGAGGTGTTATTGGTGGCGGATGAAGCCGGCTTCGAGGCGGCGGATCGCTTCCAGCTGTACCAAGCCAAGAGCGTGCTCACGTCTCGCTCCTACAAGCTCGCGGTAGCCGACGTGGCGGCCCTCAAGCGCGCGCGCACCGGCTTCGCTCGCGGAGGCCGCCTTCCCCTTCGAGATGGCGAACCGGAAAGCAAGGGCATGCCACCCGCAGCCTGCCACGAGCCCCGTTTCAAGGGCGTTTGTTTCCGCTGTGGCCAGCCTGGCCATATGGCAAACAATTGCCCTATGGGAGGGCGTGGCGCACAAGGCCCCGCACCCGTGGTGTGAGGGGAGCTATGGGGCGGCGCCCCTTGCCACTATGCCGGGGGGCGTAGGTGGATGCACCGGTGGTGCGTAGGCTAGTGGGAGGCCTTAGAAGTAGCATATGCCAAGGGGCCATGGAATAAGGCAGCCGTAGGGGCTGGATATGGGATAGGCCTAGGCTATTATGCATTGTGTGAAGTTGAATAATAAAAGAGTTTCTTAAAAAAAAAAAAAAAAAAAAAAAAAAAAAAAAACCCGAGGGAGGGCAACAATGAATGTCCCAACTACCAAAAAGCCAGCCCCTCCTCTTAGAGGTGGCAATAAGGAAGGAGGAGAGGCCAAATATGAGAGCTGAAGCAAGGGCAGAAACAAGAAAGCAAGGAGAGGGAGAAGTTAGAAAACGAGAAAGGGAGAGCAAGAGAGAGAGAGAGAGAGGGAGAGGGAGAGAGAGAGAGAGAGAGAGAGAGAGAGAGAGAGAGAGGGGGAGAGAGAGAGAGAGAGAGAGGGAGAGAGAGAGAGAGAGAGAGAGAGAGAGAGAGAGAGAGAGAGAGGGCGAGAGAGAGAGAACGAGAGAGAAAGAGAGGAAGGGAGAGAGAGAGAGGGAGGGAGAGAGAGAGAGAGAGAGGGAGAGAGAGAGAGAGAGAGAGAGGGAGAGAGAGAGAGAGAGAGAGAGGGAGAGAGAGAGAGAGAGAGAGAGAGAGAGAGAGAGAGAGAGAGAGAGAGAGAGAGAGAGAGAGGGAGAAGTGGCCAGCCGTTAAAGGACATACGGCGGGAGAAGCCATGGGACCGAGTGAGGCACATGCCTCGTCGCGCTCTTTGTGAGGCGATTCCAAAAAAAAAAAAAAAAAAAAAAAAAAACGCACACCAACAACGACAACAACACCGCACATACACTCAAGCCACAACCTAGACAGAGGTTTTATGGCTGACTTGTGGTCAATAGTGGGGGGGAAGCGGGGGGAAGGAGGGTGATATAGTTCCCCTACTCATCGCCCCGCCGGATCCGTGTTTAATCCGCCTCGTCATTCCCCCTCTATTCAACCTTCGTTGCCCGCCACTTGCAGAAGCTGGCAGCGAGTGGCAAGATGTCAGTTGGGACCCATACACGCACGCAATAACGAACAACATGGTGTCCGTCATGCGAAGGCGACTGCATAACAGCCTGCACTGGTGGCTCTCTTGGTGCGACAACAGCTTCATCCTTTCCATCTTTGCCAGAGGGTATTGGTTACCATGGAAGGGCGAGGAGCCCATCCCTTTCGAGGCCCCCAATCACGCAGGAGTGCAAGCACATATGACCTTCACCCAAGGTGCTGTCCGTGACCTCATCACCTCGGGTGCCGCACTCAAAGTCTTGTCAAAGGCCACATTGGCATGCATCAGCCCGCTCAATGTAGTGGAGCAACGGGACAAATGCCGCCTCATACTTGACCTACGAAAGGTCAACTCCCACCTTCAAGTGCCCAAGTTTAAGTACGAAGGCTTAGCCCAGGTTGCAGAAATCATCCGCCCAAACGACTGGCTATTTACAATTGATTTGAAGTCAGGCTACCACCATGTTGACATTCACCCATCCTGCTGGAAGATCTTGGGATTTCAATTTGAGGGAGAATTCTACTGCTTCACCTCCCTGCCCTTCGGCCTGGCGACAACACCATTTGTCTTCACCCAGTTCATTAAGCAGCTAGCTAAGAGATGGCGCGCGCGCGGAGTTCGCGTGATCCCATATGTGGACGACTTACTTTTCCTCTGCAACTCCGAGATCCAAGCACGTTCAACGTGCACGGAAGTCCTCCGAGACTTGAAGGCGGCAGGCTTCGTAATCAACGCCAAGAAATCTAACCTGCATCCCACGCACCAATTGCGCTTCTTGGGGATGGAGCTTGATACTGTACGAGGGATGTTTCTCGTCGGGGAAGATCGGCGTGAGCAACTACTGCGTGAGCTCCACCGGCTTATTACAAAAAGCCAATCAGGCCAACAAGTGCCGATCCGCCAGATAGCTCGGATCACTGGATTTGTGAGGATCTAGGATCGAGCTCAGAAAAGAGAATTGTAATTGAATTGATTCACCTGGGTACAAGACGAGGCTATATATAGGCTAGACACAAGGCCAGTTACCCAGGTGTTACGCGAATGTTCTGAGGGTCGCGAAGCGTCCCGAACAGAACCTTCCCGAACTCAGTAGAAAGCAATTCGGTGGAAACCGAATAGGCTTGAGTTCGGTACACGTAACCTAGTTCGGTGCTATAACTATAATAAAGTATAGGAATGCACCTAACCTAGGAAATCAAGCATATCTATGCATGATGAATAAAACCCAAGCTAGTAATAGCATAATAAAGTCTAGGCAAGCTAGTAAAGCCAGCATAAGCCGTCGTACTCTCACACGTCCCCCCCTCAAAGCTGGGTGGTGTGAGAAACACCCTGCTTGACAAGATAGTCCCTGAGAGCACGGCGTGCGTTGCCCATATCAGCTTCTGCAACCCAACTGTCCTCAGTGGGGTCGTATCCCTTCCAGCGGATCAGGAACTCGAGGGTCTTGCCGCCGCGGCGCCGATGAGTGAGAACACGCTCCACTTCGTACTCGGGTTCATCCTGTATGAGAACAGGTGGTGGTGGCGGTAGCTGCCGTCCCTGGAACCGTTGGTTGGGGTCCTTGTAGGGCTTCAGTAGCTGAACATGGAAAGCGTTGTGAAGCTTCCATGTATCTGGTAAGCGCAAGCGGAATGTTACTGGTGTCACCTTAGCCTCAACGAGAAAAGGACCACAGAAGCGAGGCCGGAGTTTGGATGAGAGGTGAGACAGGTTCAAGTTGCGCGTGTCAAGAAGCACCTGATCCCCGACTGCTACTGAGTGATCTCGTCGCTGACGATCGGCATACTGCTTCTGGGAGGTCTGCATCGTGGTGAGTCGTCGCTGAGTCTTCTCCCATAGCTGCTGCATGGTGGTGACGAAGTCATGTGCGGCTTGGATGTGTGCCGGTGTGGTTGGCTGCTGTGGTGTGAGTGGTTCCCGTCCGTAACACAGGAAGAAAGGAGTTTTCCCTGTGGCCGCATGTGACGCGTTGTTGTAAGCGAACTCTAGGGTCGGTAACTGTGTGTCCCAGTGGCTAATGTCGTATTTGCAAGCTATGCGCAATAACTGCTCAACCACTTGATTGAGTCGCTCTGTCTGTCCGTCACTCTGTGGGTGGTATGCTGAAGACATTGCAAGCTTTGTCCCCAGAACTTACTGGTGAATTTTGGGTCTCTGTCTGAGATGAGTGTAGCGGGGATGATGCGGTCGAAGAAGAGGCGAGCAGCTGCTTCAGCTGTAGCTGTGGCGTTGGTCGGAATGAAGTGACCCATTTTAGAGAACTTGTCGATCACCACGAGTATAGCATCATGCCCTCGTGAGGTCGAAGGAAGTCCCGTGATGAAGTCGAGGCTAACGACTTGCCATGGCTGCTCCGGTACGGGTAGAGGCTGAAGTAACCCTGCTTTTTTCTGCTTGCTGCTCTTCATCCGCTGGCACGTGTCGCATGAGGTGACGAACTGCTGCACGTCTGCTGCCATCCCGGGCCAGTAGTAATACTTTGCTATTCCCGCTAACGTCTTGTTGCTCCCGAAGTGTCCCGCGTAAGGTACGTCGTGAAACTCCTCCAATAGGATCTGCCGTAGCGGGGCGTAATTCGGTACCCAAATCTTTCCTGAACCCTTCCTTACAGCTAAGTCTTTCTCCCACTGTAACAGCTTCTTGGTCTGTGCTGTAGCGATCTCTGCGTCCACGGAGTACCCATGTTGGAATAGACCCTTGAGCAGAGGGTTCATCCCGTCGAGCTGGATGCCTGCTACATGACCGGGGCGGCTCAACACGTCTGCTTTGTTGTATAGCCCGGGCTTGTAGACGATGTCGTAGTGGAAGTGAGTTTCCAAGAAGTCCACCCACCGCACCTGTCGTCGTGAGAGCGTCGGCTGCGACTTCAGGTATTTGAGACTGCAGTGGTCAGTATAGACTGTGGTCTTGGCTCCCTCTAGGTAACACCTCCACGCCTTGAAGGCTATGACTATCGCTAAGGCTTCCTTGTCATGGATGGGGTAGTTCAGTTCTGCTCCGTGTAGCTTCTTACTGAGGTAGGCGATGGGCTGCAAACCGCGTCCGTGATCCTGCATCAGTACTGCTCCGACTGCTTGGTCACTAGCGTCTGCTTCCACCACGTAGTCCTTGTCTGGATCCAGTAAGATGAGTACTGGGGCTGTGGTCATTGCTGTCTGTAGCTGCTCCATGGCTTGCTGATGAGGGGTATCCCATTTGTAGGGCGTATCCTTTTTCA